GCGCTTGCTGCGCTGTTGCTCTATTGCCTTCCCCCCGCCCCAATCTCTCCCAGTCCTCCTTGGCGCGGACTACTATCTCTCTCTCTCTCTCTCTCTCTGCCCCTCTCTATTTCGGGGCCTCGTGTTCGTCTGGGATTGCAGCTTCGGGACGAGACGGGCTGCGAATAAGTGGGGGTGGTGAGCATCTGCACTGTGTATTACTTATCTGTATTAAATTGTTCTTATCTCAACCCACGGGTTTCCCGTTTATCCTTTAATTCTCTCCCTCATTCCTGGGGGTGGGGGAGGGTGAGTGACCGGCTGTGGGGGTTCTGTTGCTGGAGGGGCCTAACCCAGGACAGTATTGCATATGCAAAGGAACATTTACATTGTTTTTATCTTTTAAAAGATGTTTCTTTTCCTACCTTGTTTCTAAATATTTACAATTGTAAAGTTAGTATTATCCTTCTATGTGCCATTTACTGATGAATAAAATATAAAGAATGACTTGCATTTGGACAGTTTATCCATCTATGGAAAGCTGAAGTTTAAAAATAATGTTCTGGAAATAGATTATATACTTTGTTTCTGTCTGATGTTTACATCTTTGGGAAGTACTTCACATTACATTAGAATTAACCTACTAATTGGTTGGAAAGTTCTGAATTCAGTGTGTTATGTGAAGAAGAATCAAGACAGACTAGTCGTATCTCATTATATATTTTCTGATATATTTCTGTCTTGATAAATACTTTAAACAATTATTATTTGGAAGGATGCTTTTCCTCATAAATATAAAGGTTATATCTGCACTAGAAGACATTTGAAAATGAAAACGCTTGGTCAAAAGTAAAGGCTTAGTTCACAACACCAGATATCCAGGAATTGTGTTCTTCACGCTGTAACTTGTGTGGCAGCCGAAGTGCCAATAATTATTTCCTTGCACTGTCATTCCCCATTTTGCCACGTACCCCTTTTAAAGATACACCATCAGTAAAGAGTTGCAGATTGATGCTTTTGGTACGGTGGATTGAAAAGATCATGTGACTTATACTCCTGCTATTGCCTGTACTATGTGTATAATTCCTTTCAGAATTCTTTGTTTTGTCCTGAAAATCTCTAGACCTCTTCATTCCTACGTGTTTGGGAATGCATTCTAGAACATCATTTTTGATTGCAAAGATACTTCCACTAACCTAGCCTGTGTGTTTTCCTGTTTGCTGCAGTGCCAAAACAGCCCTCTCCTGGGGAAATTATCTGTTGGGATCAGTTTTTTCTCTTGGGACTTTACAGATTCTAAGCACCGGAGGAGGTTGTCATAGCTCTTTTCAGTGACTGCTTTATGTAGTCTAAAGAAATTGTGCTGCCTTAGGCATTTCTTCTTAGAATCCACTCCCCTGGTTATTGTAAAGGCTTTTCCAGTTGTGATTTGTCTTCTGTGAACGCCATAATCAGGCTTGTACGCCACTGCCGCTGGAAACAAGTGTGCTGACTTTTCAACACACTGATCAAGTTTCGTAGTTCATTATTGTTTGTTTGGTCACCTTTTTATATTGGATTTATATTCCAAATCTTACACATGTTCTGATCTTATCTGATTTGGAATTACTTATCTGTGGTCATTTATCCATCTTGTCTTTGTTCCAAGGGATAGTTCTATTTATGTGTGTTAACATTGATGTGAAAAGTTCGGTCAGTTTGAATGTGTTGGGATTATTATACATCTCTAGCAATAGTCACTGTTCTGTGTGTAATACTGTTTTCCACTCTTCACCCTCCACCCTTTTGTACATCCAAATATTCAGATTCTGATTTAATTTCTTATGGTTTATCAAGTATCTCCTTTTTTGAAACTGGCATAGTTCGAGTTCTAGTGTTTAGAATGTCATTTAACATAAAAATCTGACCACAAATACTAAATGCTTGATGAGTTCATCTCAAGTCTGTTATTTATAAAAGCAAAGTGTAAAGTCCAGAGTATTGCCTTTATACATGGCAAATTTGTTTGTAGATGCATATGACATGACTATTCCTCAGCATTCGTAGGTTGATGGAGGCTATGCCAGTCTTTTTCGTATACGCTCTCATGTTATGGCCTACTGTAATTCCTGTTTCTTTTTCCCTTCTTCTGTTCTGTTTCCTGTAACTGCTGAAAAACTATGAAAAGTTCAGGTATCTTGATACCAAGTTTCCCTCATCTCAAACGTAACTTTATTTGTTCGTTGTATTATATCTTTTTTTCTCTGTCTGTACCTCTCAGTTTCCTTGGGACTCTTCAGCAGTAAGAAGCAATAATATTGTTCTATAGAAAAAGAAAGTTATTTTTGTCTTCATTATTATCATTGAAAATGGCCAAAATCTGTTGATTAACACTGGTCTCAATTGTGGGACCTGCGAGAGGACAAGTCTTACTGTAACTTCCTAAAACCATACCCTTTTTCAAAACTGACTGTATCTGCTAACCAAGTCTGAAATTCGTGTGAAATCCAAATGAAACCAAATTAGACTTGTACTTAACACATCAAATAACAATGAAGTTTGGTGGTTTTTGCCTTTTCAGTTCTGTTTAATACCTGTAGTAAATCTGGCTCTTTGCTAAGGCTAATCAAAGCCTTATAGAGCCAGTCGTAAGATGGAAACAACTTGCAAATTTTTCTGCATCATGCATTTGCTACCTCTTTAATGTTTGGGACCAACTTGGAAAAGAAAGAATGAGCAAGAAAATTACGTGTTCCAGGTGAAACCCCTATCCTTGCGTACAATGGAAGATATCTAAAGGATAAATGAGGATTATATGTTTTATTTCCACTGGCAAATTCTACTGGAAATAACTTTCTCAGTTTAGAAACTTCTGGTAGTTTTTGTCTTTGTTTCTGATGTGTGTCTGCAAGTTGCTATAGGTAGTATAAGACAACAGGCAAATGAAGGAGATAGCTGGTAATATGTGAAGTACCTCAGCAAGAACTGTGGGGAAAGGCTGAAATTTCTGTTGAATTTTAACAAAGGCCAACAGAAAATCCAGTTCTTTCTCCAGTTCCCACTTAATCACTTGACTACTTCGGTTAAGATGCAGTGCTGAGGTCAGACCTACTTTGTCTCATCACTGTGTTCTACAGCTTCCTTAATACATTTGTCTTTATATCGTATATTTTGATATTCCAAAAATAGGGCGTTTTTTAGAAGTTGCAGTAATTAGCAGGTAGAATAGCACACTCAGAAAAAAATAAGTGGAAGGCTACATAAACATCCATGAAGTATTGAAGGATTTTTGTCTTTTTGAATGAAATCTGCCAACTCTTATTTTTAATGAAGATCGAATGATAGTGTAATGTTTTCTACATATAAAATAATCTAATATATTAACTCATTTTGTGTATTACAGTCATATTCATTAAATTTTCAGACCAACTTGGTGTATATTAGTTTGAACAAACTGTATTCACAGGCCTTTGATTTGAAAACTAAATTTAATACGGAGCCAACAGTAAACCAATGAATAAGCATGTGTAGGATAAGGAGCATGAAGAAAAATAATTATGTTGCATGCTTTCGATGAGATTCTGGCCTTGTATATTTGAGTGTGACTCGAGAAGCTAATTTACTCATTTATTTTGCAGGAACTTAGTTTTTTAAGGGTTTTAGATGGAATGTAATTAAAACTGGTATTTTGGAGTCCTCTGTTGGTTGTCACTCTTGCTCTTCTCCCTTTCATCTTACACTGGAAAGGACTTTGTGTTATATATTATACATAATGGTTTAAATTACATTGATGTATAATTTAAATATATCAAGTAGTTACACTGATGATCATCGTGTAGAAATTTGAACCAGGTACTGTTTTAGGATTGGTGTGCTCTTATATGAGGTCTGGATTTCGTCTAATAAATCTAAATGTAATAGAAAACCAGGGCAGAATACCTTTCACGTTAATAAGCTGCTTTTAAACTTGAACATTTGAGAGCTTGAATGTACATTTAACCTCCTACACTTTGTGTGAGTCAGAAGTGTTTAACTGTAATGTAAATCTTATGCATAGAGTAATTATCTTCCCACTCTGTGATGGGGAAATGTATATTAACTTGAAGTCTGAAAGATGTGAATAGAATGCCCACCTACCTGCTGAGTCTAGTCTGTATTTTAGTTTGGGGTTATAACTGAAGACAAAAGAGGCATTCATCAATAGTTTTGTAACATTCCTGTTCTTTGACCTCTATTTCTCTTGCTGTTGAATGCTGTTATCAACTGTTATTAACAGTCTGAAACGCAAAGGAAGTTAAAGACTTAGACGTAAAAAGGACATAATCTTTCTACCCAGATTTCCATTAGGCACTATGAAGTCCAGCAATTTAAAGGCTACAGATTACCTTAGATATGAAAAAAAAAGCAAGAGAAAGATTTAGCAGAAGTAGAATTCAGCTTGTAAGAAACATTGTGCCACCTAGTTTCACTGCGTGGTTCCTCCCCTGTTTGTTCTTTCCTTACCTTAACTTAAATCATCCGTGCTATACTGTTACATGTGTGGCATATGGCATATGTATCCTCACATGTTATATAGATAACTTTTTTTCAAAGATTTAATGCATCATGAGGATGGGAGGCAATATATAAAATATTTGCAGTATTGCTAATATTTAACTTTGTGCCATTCGGTTTCATCAGATTTTCCATGTGCATTGATTAAATCAAAAAGAGATGACCTGTTTCTACAGTCTTAAAAGAACTTAGTGGTGAAACAGCAGTCACTCACCAGCAGATGTCTATCTGCATGCTGAAGGTGTCATCAATAATGCACAAGAAAACATCTCTAAGTTGAAAGAACTGTAGGATTGGCATCAATTTTGCTTAATAGAGCATCATACACACACTAGACAGTGATACCTGAAGCACTGACAGCATCCATTACATTAAAATGTATACGTCTCTTACTTGGAAGCATTATGTAAACTTGACAACACTTTTATTCTTTCTAAAGTCTGATTTCACTTGCACTGAGATTAATATTATTTTTCTCCTATTCTCAGAGGGCGATGAGACAGGAGTGATGGATAGTCTGCTTGAGGCCTTGCAGTCAGGAGCAGCATTCAGAGATCGCAGGAAACGAACACCAAGAGCACAAGGTAAGATGCTTTCTAAAACCTTTTTGTTATAAACTGAGTGGGCAAAAGTTGTTTAGCAAAGATTTACTAAGAGTTTTCACTGGAAACGGTTGAGCTACTGTTGGTCATTGAGCTGCTGTGGAAACTCAGCATGCTCTTTGTGGTCACGGATTTTTAACTTGATAGCGCTATCTTTGGATAACTCTGTGCTCTAAGATATGATAAGGGTTCCTGTCGTGTTTGAAATGGCATTTAAAACATGGCTTCACAAAGTATGCTTATCTTAGTCTTCAAAACCATAAGTATAATTAATTTATTGTAGGTGGCACTGTGAAAAATGCATATAGTTTGGGCATATAGCTGATAGTCTTTTCCAAGCAGTGGTCTTAGATATGTTGTGGTTTGGTTGGAAGTTATAGTGTATGTAGTCATAAAGTCAAATTGCAATCAAGTAGCTTCACTTTCTTGAGAGACAGCTCCTCTGCTTGTGATATGCCAGTTGCATGAAGTTTGAGAACTGCGTTTACTTTTCATCAAAGGTCATAGTAGTATACTGTATTTTGCAATTTTTCATTTAAAAAAGTCTTAGAGCAAAAAATACAGTCTTAAAAATTTACAGTTGAAAAATTATAGGTATTTGGCATAAAATCAAAAGCTTATGTTAGATATGTGCTGCTACAGGTTTGGCAAAATGAAGTCATTTTATTTTGTAAATAAGCATGTTTACCTACTTAATCCTCAATGAGCTAAAATCAGATTCATGTTGGCTGATTGGGTTTTTTTGAGAGGAACTGAAGAGTAAAGGCAAGTTCTACTATCCTCTTTCATCTAGCTAGCAAAAATGGAATGTAATTACTTTTAATTTGCTTCACGTCGATCTTATGGAAAAAATAAGTTACATAATTTGTTCATACTAAGCAATGAATTCTACTAGAGTTCCAGTATCATTCTTAATTCAGAGCTTGTTTCTGCTCTCAGATCAGAATTGAAAGAACTCTTCGATCAAAATGTGGGTTTTTTCCATATCTTGAGAAATATCAATGTGAGAGATGGTCTCTCTGTGTTGTGGCGTGAGGAGAGATTTGTCACCCAGTGGTGACAAAGAAAAGCTTCCCAGGGACCAGAGGAGATTGTGCAAAATCTGCTGCAACTGAGAAAGACAAGGAGATGACTGAACCCAGGTCCAAAACCAGTGACTCCTCTACAACAATAGGGGCCAGAGCTAATTAAAAATCCCTTTTATTTGTCTTCTGTTTCATATAGTCACTTTGACTTCTGTGTGTTTGCAATTTCATTGTGTCAGTTGATGTTCTAGTGAGGTCTGGCCTTTAAATTTAAGGAGTTTACTGACTTTGGGGAACTTACTGTGAAGAAGAGGTCTAGGTAAAGCATTTCCAAATTCTGGCCAACTGTAGGTCATCTCATAAGTGGATAAGACCATTATGTAAAGTTTTCAGGGGTAGCTAAAAATTTAGACAAGAGGCAATAAATGTTAGTCCCAGTCAAGTATCTGATTTACGCTATTACGTAAACTTCCTCATGTGATTTAGGAACATACATGACATGTAGTCAGTAACTTGTCTAGGAACCAGAAGACACTTTAAAATATGGTTATGACATTTCTAAGCAGTGAAATATACCATTAAAAAAGGAGAGACCGTGTTTACAAACTTCCATCTCTCTCCTTAAAAAATGGCGGGGACAATGACAATTTTCTCATTGGTACCACCAATAGACTCTGTTCTGGAGAAATCCATCCAGTGGGATTTTTAGTAAACTGTTAACTCCATGCCTCCCATGATTCAGTGGAAGGAAGAAAAAGTAAATAAAAGCTATGGAAGGAGGAGATTGGGGGATTTCTGGGCTTGCTGGGTCATTTGATTGCGATTGGAAAGCATATGGCAAATCGTACTGTCTGTACACGGTGCACAATGTGGGAGTTTTCTGTGCATTATTGATAACTTGCTGCACTGTCTCTGTAATCAGCATGTATTCTTAACATACCTGGGGGGGGTGGGGGTGGGAGGGGAATAGATGCTGCAATTTTGAAAGTTAGACTTGTACAGCAAAGTTTTGAGCTTGAACTTGTCTTGGTAGCCGCCGTGGTCTGAGAAGAAAAATTGTTGTTTTCTGCTGGTTTGGACACCAATTTAATTTTTCGGTGTCAGTTGTGGCTGGTAGTTTAAATCTAGTGAGGAGAAAAAACAACTTTTGCTTGTTTACTTTGCAGTTTTATTAATTACTTGGTAACAGGTAGCCACTACAGAAAGCCTCAAACTAAAACAAACTACTAAACCACAAACAAGAAAATGCCCCCCAAAAATGGTGAGCAATACAGTAAGTTCACTTGTGTACATTTTCATGTGCTCTAGATTATGTCTTGCTGCAAATTTGCTTATTCTTTTTGCACCTACTCAGATTGAAAATATAAACTAGAGAAGGTTATAACCCTCTCAATGGTTACAACAAGTAGACCATGAAAACTTGACTTCTGTTGTATTTTCTTCCAATTTAACTCAAAGGAGCAAACTATAGCGTTGCTACTAGTGGCATTCTTGATCAGTTTGGCTGAAAAGGAAAGAAACTCCACAACTTGCCAGAAGGAAAACCTCTACAATGGCATGTGTTCACTTTTAGGCTTTAGGCGAGTAGGTTGGACCCAAGAAGGATCATTTCATTTGGATAACTTATACTAACAATTACTATAGGCCTACACCAACCTCAGAAGAATGTTATTCTGCCACAGACACCTGTTAAATTAGCCATTTTTACAGAGGTCAGTGGTGTACCTTGTAACGTGTTTGTGCTCACGTGGTCATATCTTTAAAATATTAAAAGAATAAGAGACAGACTGGTTAAGAGAGGGAGATAGGAAGGGAATGGTGCTGTGTTCGTCTAGAATGGCCGTCCTGTGCAGGGGAACTACTTGATACTGCAGTTTTCTTACTAGGCAAAACAATGTTGGTGAAATGTACAGACAGGTTTGGAAAAGTAAAACTAATTTGAAATATCCTTAACTGCATTGGTTTTGATTGTTTGCTACGCTTGTAAATGAAAAGCTACACTTCAATGGATGGCATTATAACTAGACTTTTCCAGTAAAAATTTTTTTGTTGTCAGGTCATGGAAGTAATAATAAAAGATTCTTGTCCTCCTCCCTCAGTTTTTCATTTCATTGTACTCTTATGTGTTCTTTTTTATGTAGACTTTTCCATGTGTGGTTTCTCTCTCCTAAGCTTATTGCTGTATCTTTATTGTTTCTAGCTACTGGTTTTTAAGTATAGAGTTTGTCCTTTCATTAGATTGCTTTGCTTATAGAGGCTATAAAATAATAATTAGAAATCAGTTTCTAGAAATGTTGCTTCCTCTTCCAAAAATATACTTGCTTTTTGCAAGTTTGCTAGTATTGGAATGAGAGTATAATAAAGAATGGTGTTAGGTGGCATTCATCACAGGGTACCAGTTTAAAAATATGTGTCCAGCACTGCTATTGCACCAATTATCCCTGACCTTTTTTCTGGCCTCAGGGTATGATATTATTACAAAAGACTGATTCAGGAATATTTTCTCTCTAATATTAGTTTAAGCAAATTTCTGCACAGAGCTAACTATTCAGTTAGAGTTTTTTCTGTTAAGCTGCTAAATTTTTTGCCATGGAATTTAAGTTTAATATTTTCAGAAACGTTAATAACTAATGCCCTCTCCTATATATCCAAATTACTGCAACTGCAATAGTAATATGTGCTATTATTTCTATAGTCTTTCACTACTGGGAAAACCTAGCTGTAAGCAGGTTCTTTCTGCTTTAGATTGCAGTGTGAAGAATATCAAGTATTTAATGTGGTCTGTTAGTACACGTTTTGGGTTATTTTTTAATCCATGCATCAAAATCAAATCAGTATAGTGAGATGCATAGTAGGAACAATTTAGCAACTTCTGGATTTGATTTTATTGAGAATTGCTACACTGTTGTCGTGGTTTTAGGCTGATCTAGAAACTAAAACTCACACAGTCTCTCCTTCTCCAGTAAAGTGGAGAGGAGAAAAAAAATATAATAAAGGGACTGAGGGATGAGACGAGAACAGAGGGAGCACCCACCAACCATGGTCCTGGGCAAAAAAGACTGGGCTTTCTTAAAAGCAAAACAATTT